TGGGAAACGCAGATGGGCCGCACGAGCATCTTTTATTTTTATTCAGAACATCTGAATGTCTCTGTGGGCCCCCCACCCCTCCAGAGTGGCGCCTCCCCCTGTAGCAGAGAGGATGTGAGAGCACCTTGTGGGGGGCAGGCAAGGCTAGGCAAAGTTCTCCCCCTCCAGCCCCACCCCTCCCATGCCCCAGAGAGGGGTTGGCCCAGGAAGCCTTTGAAGCAGGAAGCAGCCTGGAAGGGAAGGCCGAGGGAAGCAAGTTTGTTAATATTCACAGTGGAGACAGGGGTCGTCCCTGGGTTTTCTGTGAATCCACAGGAGGCAGAGACATACCAGCCTTGCTCAGCAACTCCAGGACCTGGGAGGCAAGGCCTGGGCTTGACTCACAGATTGCTGGGTGACATTGAACAACTCACTTCCCTCTCTGGGCCTTGGTTGTCCCATCTGTAGCTTGAGGGACTGTGACTAGATCACCTCCCAGGTTCCGTCCTGCTGCAACATTCAGGATTCACATCCTTGACAACTTGGCCACTGACTCCTGACTCAACACACCCCCTTCCCATCCTCTGGGTGGGGCTCAGGCCTGGGTGGGCCCAGGAAATGTGCTGAGACTGTCTGTGGAAAGCAGCAGGGATGCAAGGGCAGACTGAGCAGTGGTGGGTTTGCCTAGAGCCCCCTCCCTGCAGCATCCTTAGGGAGGAGAGAGGCTGTGGGCACACAGATGATGTCTTTGTGAGCAGTGGAGACATTTGAGATATTTAACGGTCAGGGCTGCCCAGGCATGGACTAATGCACTTGGGCGAGGGGGGCTGCTGTGCCAGCTGTTAACTCTTTAGATCCTGGGGGGTGGGTGGGGTCCTGGGGGAGGGGCCAGGGAGGCAGGAAAGTGAAACATTTGGGGGTCTTGGGGCAGGGCCTATTTAGCAGCTGGTATGGAAGTGTTTCAACATTTTGACAATTCATGTGACTGTTGGTGACCTGCTGTCTATCAGCTCTGTTTGGGGGAGGGAGGGACGGGAAGGCTGCTGGGGCCCTGGGAACCACTTTCTAGCCATTTCCACCATCAGAAAAATTCCTTCACTCAGAGTGGGTAGCAGGTTACTCTTCCCAAGGCCCCTGGCCTGCCGCCGCCCCCAGGGTAGCCCTCCTCCCCCACACTGGGGTACACTGAAGGAAGGCTCCACCCCCACTCCTTTCCACATAGCACCCAGCCGGGGTAGGAACTTGCACTCAGCCAACTTCCCTCCCCCACTCAGGGCCCGTTTGGCACCCACCCTCAAACCCCCCACCCCCCAGGCAGGGACCTTTCTCATCTCATTCTGCCTGGTCAGTGGAGGAGGATGTTGAGGTGGGGTTGCAGGCTGCGGGTAGCGGGAGCAGGTGCAATTTAAGGGCAGCTGATGGGGGGAGAGCCCGGATTCCCCGTGCAGGGCCCCTGCTCTGCCGGCTACCCCAACTTCCCTGTGCAGCAATTTCGGTTTCTATTTTAAACAGTTTGGGTTAGTTGCTTCCCTGCCTTCCTGCTGGGTGTTTATAGTGAGGAAAATAATTGGTAATATTTGCACAGATGTGCTGGCACTGCAGCTCGTCACAGGCACCTTTACCCAAGGGACCCTCCCTGCCCCAGCCTCTCTCTGCCAGCCTGAGGAGGCAAACTGAAGGGGGATAACCGCAAGCCCTGAGCCTCCTAGGAGCCTCAGGCAGTGAGGCACAGGCAGAGCTGGGAAGCAGGAGGCCTAAAGCGCCCCAGGCATGCCCAGAGGCAGGCCTTGCTATGACGGGGGAGGGGGGGGGGTGCCCTGCCCCGTGTTGCTGGGACTGATCAGGATGAGCCCAGGCTCCACAGGATGGGCCCTTCCTAGGGGGCTGCGGGAGGGAAGCCCCCAGGGGCTAGATTTCTGATTCCATTTTCTCCTGCAGAGCCTGAATTTTGCAGCTGGGGGGAGGGGATGGGGGAGGGTGAAAAGGCAGAGAGAGCAGGACCAGAGTTGAACATGGGAAATCATCTGGCTTCTTCTCCCCTGTCTCAAGGCCTAGAGCAGCATTCTGGAGGGCTGGGAAGGAGGTGGGAATTGTTTGGGCTGTGAGGCAGCCTGCCCAGCAGGAGCAGGCCTGGACTGGAGAGTGTGCTGTCCATTGCCCATTCCGGGGCCCAGCCAGGCTGGTGATGGGGTGAGACTGCAGAGTGGAAGGCCAGGTGAGAGTCCTCAGCCACTGTATCTCCTTCTTACCCCTTGCGTGTGCATGTGCTGTATGTGTGGGTGCACATGTGAGTGTGTGCATGCAGTATTTGTGCATGTGTGGGCTGTGGCGATGTGTGTGCGTGTTCATGGCTGCATGCCTGGGCCTGCATATATGTATATGCATGTAGGTAGGTGCAGGTACCTGCGTGTGCATGCATGTATGTGCTACACATGTGTGTAGGTGCATGTATGTGTCTTGGTTTGGGTTCCCCCAGAAGCCCACCCTGAGACAAGTGTTTAATTGCAGGTAGTTTATTGGGTGATGATCCCAGGAAGCACCGTGGAGGAGTGAGGAAGAAGTTGGGGAGAGGAAGGCAGCCAGTGAGGCACATGCTCTCAAGGCAAATTGCTGCTGCAGACCACTGAGCCTCAACCCGGCTGGGGAACCCTGAGAGCCAGTGTGGAACATGACCAGTGTTCTTTCAGCCAGAGGGCAGGAAATCTGGGGTGTTTGTCCACCAGCTCCCATCTGTCATTGGTTGAAAGCTGCCGACAGGCTGTTAGCTCTCCAGCACTTTTGTCTTGTCCTGCCTGTGGGCCAAGTGTCACAGAGTTTCCAGGAAGCAGCCTTTGGTGTGGAGGTAGATGCCAAGGGGATCTGGGTAGCACCACCGGGGCTGCTGCTGTGTGGCTGGTGTGGTGACGTGCTGCTCAGGCCCTGCAGGAATGACAGGCTTAGTCCTCCAGCTGCTGCGGGTACTGTCAGCACCAGTCTTCAGGGCAAGTCCCCTCTGAGGGCTGCCCCAGCTGAAGAAAGCTGCCTGGCTTGAGGTCACACCTCTTTTTTGGGTGGCCCACATCCAATCACTGATGATGAGCAAGTATAAAGGCCTGGCCCTTTGTCCCAACTTGGTTCAACTCTGAAGGGCATCCTGGCTCCAGACCCCACCTTGGGTTGGCTCAGACTGTCATTCAGGCCTGCATCAAGGCCTGACCTCCTCACCGTTCAGATCTGCCTCCTTCTCCTCCCTTCCTCATACGTTATCCCAAGAGCAGTCCCTAATCTACGTCCCGCATTAATCTCCAGCCCATGCAGCATGTGTGTGTGCATGCACAGCTGTGTCTTGCAAGTAGGCACATACAGGTGTGGGTGTGCCAGGTACCTCCATGCAGTGGCCTAGAGGCCAGGCTGGTCTTTCTGCAGGCCCAGGCAGGCTCCTGGGGGCCTGGGACTGAGAGCATATTGGGGATTTGGTGCTGAGGCTAGGGCCTGAGGCAGGCAGAGATGGCTTCCTCCCCATACCACCTGGGAGCAGCCCCCAGGAAGGAGGTGTGTGGGACTTGAGAGCGGGCATCAGGGGAGTAGGGCTCCTTGGTGCCCTCCCCACCCCTCATTCTGCATCCATCCTTGATAGCTCCAGGCAGCCCAGTGGAGCCTCAGTCACCCTGGCTCACATCTCTTCCTCCTGAGCTCAAGACTCTTAAGCCTACAGGGATTTTTCTTCAGACATGGACCTTGGCATGTCTTGCACAGACTCAAATGCAAGCTGTCACCCTATATCCACGCAACTCCAAGCAGAGTGGTCCTGGGATGGGGTGGGCACTCGGGCTACCCCTCCTCTGAAGGCCCAGGTGTGGGCCTATCCTCTTGAGAAGGCTACTGGAGGCCAGGAGCAGCAGACGTAGGGATGGAGGTCAGTCTTGGGGAAGAATGGGACGCAGGTAAAAGAGGAGGCAGGCGAGGACAGCAAGAGGCCCAGCGGGCACCGGGTGTTACAGAAATGTTTATTACAAGGATAAATATTTACAATACTGGGACATTAAAACTGCTGATCCTGGGCCTGTGGGACTTCATGGGATGCAGGGAGTGGAGGGCTGGTCAACGCATGGGGTGGGGGAGGACAGTAGGACAAGGTGGGTCAGTGGTGGATCCACAGCCCCAGGCTCTAGATGGGGCCCAGAGATGACAAGGTCCCCAAATGGTGCACGATGCCGACAGGCCTGCCTTCCCAATGTGCTGCACTCCTGACTGCCCAGATGTTTCGAACATTCTGGATGTTCCCTAGTGGCTGGGGTGTTGAGAGCAGCTCTGAGTGGGGGCATCAGTGAAGAAGCCCCAAGGCTGACTAGGGGCCCACCACTGACCCCCCCAGCATTCAGAGGCGGGAAAACATCACTGGCCTTTGACAGACAGGCTCGACCTTCTTTAAGTTGGTGGAGCCCTCAGAAATGGCTGCAGTTCGGCTCCAGCCCAGATGCTCTAGGCATAATCCAAACAGCTTGGAATCTGCCTTGGGAGGCTCCTGCCCCTGCCCCACCCCGCCCGCAAACACTAAGGACCATGGAAAAACAAATCCCTTAGATAAATTCTCCTCATCTTTCTAAACCTTGCTCATCTCCTTCAGGAAGCCTTCCTGAGCACTGCAGGCTGCTCAGCAGCCATGCCAGCCCTGGCTCCCTCCCCTCATCTACACTCACTACTCCCCAGGGTCTCTCCTCGCTGCTTTCCTACAGGGCTGGATCTAGGCCCCTGTACTCAGTGGCTGGTGGGCTGATGGCACACTCTCTCCATCTACCTGGGATGGCACCAGCTCAGGGTCCCCCAGGAGGAGCCCAGAAAATGATGATGGGGGCAGGGAACAGGGGCAGGGTGGGGAGGCCCATGTCATCTGGCAATATTTCAGGGCCCTCCAGTCTCTCTGTCATTGCATCTGCTTTTTGTTCCTGCCCAGAGAAGCTCCAAGAACCTGCCCTTGGTGCAGAGTTTACCTGCCTGAGACTCCTCTTCTCTATCTAGAATCTATAGCATCTTACAAGCCCACAATGAGATAAGCGCCCTTCATAATCAGAAAGACCAAGGGGTCCCTGCGTCTCCTGGCTGGCTGGGGTCTGGGCATCATGGGGCCAGAGAGTGGAGTTGGGGAAGCTCAGCTGTCCCCAGGATGGAGACTCCTATGGGCTGAAAGGACTGGGTCAGGTCCCCTGCCTCCCCAGCATCCCTTCTGTCCCTGTGATCTGCTATTCTCTGTGGAGAGGTTGGCAGAGTTGGGCAGGGGGCTGCCTGCAGGGCAGGAGACCATCTAGGGAATGGGCAGAATGGGCTGAGCTCCCAGCCGGCCTCAAGCCAGAGATAGGCCCTGCCTGGATGGCCTGGTGGGCAGCCCTACCCTCTCCTGCTTCCCAACACAGCCTGGGCTGGAGAGTGGTGTTCCCTGAACCTGCTCTGGGGCTGGTTGCAATGGGCAAGAAGAAGTGAAGGTTGAGTCCCGCAGGCTGCAGCTCGGGAGGCCTCCCTACCACAAGCCACCCTCACAGGTTGTCTTCAGGGGTCAGGGCTCTCCAGAGAGTCTGCAACCCCAAGCCCCACTGCCTCCTCAGGTGGAGTAGGGGAGTCAGGATGCCAGGTCCTACTGGGCACTAGCCGTGGCCATTCTGGGACATGTAAGCTGCCAGAGCCACCACCACGGCCACATAGATACCAGTCCCCACGGCGATGGAGAGTGTGGCCAGGAAGAGGGCTCGGCGGGAGGTGGTGCTGGCCAGGCGGAAGTCTCCCTTGGAGATGGCCTTGCTGGTCTAGGGAGAGAGATGTGCTGATGAAAGGGAGCATCCCCACGCCCAGCAAAACAGCCCCAGCCTGGCCAGCCCCTGACCCCATCCTGCAAACGCTCTGCCAAGCCCTCCAGTGGAGGGAGATGGCAGTGGAAGCCCTGGGCCCCACGTGCTCTTACCCCCTGGGAGAAGTAGAAGGCGGCGATGCCCAGGGGCCAGAAGCAGCAGAGCATGGAGAAGATGGTGAGACCCAGGTGGTCCCTGGGAGGCAGCATGAGGAAATTGTCTTCACTTTCACTCTCTGTTGAGGTTGCATCACTCTGCAAACATGAGTATGGTTTTGTGACCAGGCCCAGGATCACCCAGTGGCAATGATGTGGGACAACAGGCAGTCTCATCTGCTGTTGGTGAGAGCATGGGTTGGGCTTGGCACTCTCTATGGAAAGCCTTAACAATGACCCAATGATTCCATCCTTAGGAATTTATCACAAGGAAAGAATGCAAGTATATATATACAGGCATGGTCATCATCGGATAGTAATTATGAAAGATTAGAAACAATCTCAGTACCCAATGACCAGGAAACTGAGTTAATGAGAGACGGAAGAACTTACAATGGAATACTATGTAACTTTTAAAAATCACCTTGTAGAAGAATATGAAATTATGTGGAGCAATACTTAAATAGGTTGCTTAGAGAGAAAAATCAGGTTATAAAACTATGTAGAGCAAGATCTTTTTTGGGGAGTAGGGTGGGAAAAAAGGAATAAGAAAAGACTAGAAGATCATCAACTAAAATAATAGTATTATCTTCCAGTGGTTTTCTGTATTAAGTTTAAATTACTTATATTATTAAGAAAGCAAGAACAATAAATGCTATTAAAAAATTAAATAGTCAACCCTAGTTATTGTTTCTCAAAGTGTGGACAGCAGCTGTGTCAGAAGTACCTTTTCTTTGGTAACGTACAGATTCCTGGGCCCCAAGCCAGGCCTACTGAAAGCAACACCTGGACGTGGGCCCGGAAATCTGCATTTTAAACTCGTGCACTCACCTCCTCCTCCTCCTGGTCGTCCTCCTGGCCCTGCAGCTCCTCTTGAACCCCATAGGACACAGTCTGGATGGTGACATCCTCTTCCACTTGGCCAGGTTCTGTGGACTGCTCCGTGGGCCCAGCCTGGGGCTCCCTGCTCTCTGTGAAGCTGGTCTCGCAGCTGCCTGTCCTGGGCTCCTCGACCTTGTCCCTCCCCAGGAGGAAGCTGGGCCTGTACCAGGCCTCCACGGCCAGCTGCAGGGACCCCGGGTCGAGGATCTGGTGGGCGCGAGCAGGGCCAGCACCACCCAGGAGGTAGGAGTAGAGCTTCTCCTGGCATGACCAGCTGGGCGAAGCCTCAGGGTAGGGGTAGGGGCCATGGAGGTGAGCGGGGCTCCGAGGCAGCAGCGGGTTCTCTAGTTCGCTCAGACTCTCCATGGTTCTGGGAGCAGCTCCAGGAAGGGGAGCAGTCCTCAGAAAGCCTGCTGGGAGGGCAAGACAGACAGACACACTGAGGCCTCAAACCCTGCCTGTGCCACTGGCCGGCTCTGGGACCTTGACCCCTACTTAATTCTCAGAGCCTCCGTTTCTTTGTCTGTGAATTGGGGATAGCAGCAGTACTTACCTCATAGAGTTGGTTCATTCATTGATCCAGTCAACACATTTGTTGAGCATCAGCTCTATGACAGGCACTGTACAGATGCTGGGGATCTGATGGTGAGAAAGGCGGGAAGCAGGGAGAAGGAAGAGGATGGACACTTTGTCTTCACGGAGCTTACGGTCTGGTGGAAAAGACGCCTGCCCTGAAGAAGCGCAGCAGAGGGTGTAGGAATGCACGATGGACAGAACTGACACAGGGCGCAGAGAAGGCTTTGGAGCTGAGATCTGAAGGAAGAGGACAACTTCACAAGGCAAGGGGACGGGGAGCACATTCCATGCAGACTCCAAATAAAGGATGGTCGGTCTGAGAGGCTGGGAGAAGGCTGGTGTGGCTCAGGGTACAGACGGAGGTGTGAGATAGGGTATGGGGCCAGACCATGCAGCTCTGTTTAGGTCCAAGGGAGCTTCAGGGGTGTCGGCAGGGCTGACAGGATGAGATTTGGGTCCTGAAGCCTTCCCCATGGCTGTGGGTGTGGAGTGGCTTGGAGAGGGCTTGGCCAACTGTGACACCATTAGGAGGCTTTGCCATGGCTTCAGGTAAGCTGAGGACAACAGGGACTAATAGTGGGGAGATGGAGAAAAGGGGACGTGCCCTGGGAGGTAGTGACAGGATTGGTGGCAGGTGGGATGTTGGGGTGAGGGAGGATTTGTTCTAGGGTTGGGTATGACCACACTTAGCTCAGAGCTGGGCACATGCCAGCTCACAGCTGTCAGCTCTTCCTGGGGCAGGTATGGTGTAGGGGAGGCACTTTAGGCTGATCTCCTCTCTAAGGCAAATTGTGACTTTTGAAAGTTCCTGTGGGGTCTAGGGCAGGGCCTCCTGGGCACTGAGGTCTGGACTTGCACATCCCAGCTGCAAGTGTAGACACGCTCAAGGGCTGGAGCATAGACACCCTCAAGGGCTGCCTCTCCCTCCTTTGGCTAGCCCTGAGCACCTACTGTGCACCTGGGAAGGGAGCATAGTAGGCGTTGAGGGCTGGCTGAAGGAGGGAAAGGCAGCCCTTGAGGGTGACTGCAACAAACCCACACACATTCTGGGGGGTGGCAGGTAGAGGTGTGCTGTGGAGAGAGAGGAGGGGCAGGCCAGGTGGCCCCAGGGACCCTGCTGTCCCCCTCCCAGGCCCATCATGAAGCTGGAGGGTGATAGGGTCATGGATTTATAATCCGAAGATCGGAGAGGCAGTCCTGGCCTTGATTCTTTGGGCAAATTTTCATGCCCTTTTGGGTTTCCTCATCTGTAAAATGCAGATGATAATCTGCACCCCACAGGGTAGTTTTAAGGATCCAAAGAGATGGCTGAGATACAGGTGTGTTGTAGATGACACTTGGGAGGGGCAGCTATGCTTACTTCTGGGCTTCCGAACTCGTCTTCACCCACCAAGGGCCATTTCCCACCCCCATCAGGTATCTGTTAGTGGGAAAGGGAAAAGTGTGAGGAGAGGTTCCTGCCTCAGAGCTGGGTTTATCTAGGCTCCCTTCCTAGTCCTACTCCCCATCAGGAATTCACAGCCAAAGCCTGACAAAGGGCCATTTCTACTTCTGCCACAAGAGAAATGGCTGGATTCTAGAAAGCTCGTTCTTGGGAAACCTGCCTTCAGGTTTCCCCATGAATAACGCCCAGGGAGTGGGAGAGAGCAAAGGGAGGAGGAGGGCCAGGCAAGACTGGGGAGGTCATGGAGGGTGTGTCCGTGGGGCGCCAGGCTCCCCTGGCTGGCCTGCGGGGAGAGAGGAGGGTGGGCTGTGGCCTGCCTGGGGGCAAAGGAGCAAGAAGAGGCTGCCTGTGGCTCAGAGGCTCTGAGCCCCTGAGAGGTGTGGAGTCTGGAGCTGGGGCTCCAAGAATGTCTAACACAGAATCCTGGAGGGGTGCGAAGAAGGGCATGTGGCCCAGGTGCCCAACTCTTCACTCAGGGAGGGCACAGATGGTGCTGGAGATGCCGGGCTGCCATGCCCCTCGAGACCCTGTTGGCACATTAACCAGTGCAAATTTCCCTTGAGCTGTCACCAGCTGTGGCTGAAGCTTCTCCACGTTCAGAGACGCACGAAGGCTTGAGAGGGGGTTTATCTGAGGTCACTGCTGTCTGCTCACAAAGGCAGGGGCCTTACTGCTTCTCCCTCCTCCTTCCTCTCCAGGCGTCAAAAACGCAGGGAGCCCCTCGGACTACAGTCACATGGAGGGGCTCCTTCCTGCAGGTGAGGAGCTGGGAGTGCCCAGGGAAGAGGCCCCCCAGATTCCCAGCACAACTGGTCTCTTCTGACTCCCAAGGGCAGCTTCTGAGCCCCTGTCACAGCTTCCCCGCACCAGCAGATGTGACCCACAGATGTGGAGCTGAAGGGCATGTGGCCATAAAGCTCATGGGTTTGGGAGTCAGGTACACTGACTTTCCATTCCTGATCCACCCCCATTAGCTTTTTGACCTGGCACCTCAGTTTGCCCATCTATAACAAGAGCGGTTGGGTTAAATGGTCACTGATATTGATGGTGGCACTAACATTCCACGATCCTATAGCTTTAAGGAGCCCCACAGAAGTGAAATCCCCCCACTCCCTGCCCTCTTTCAAAAGTCAGGGATAGATGAGCAGCTCAGAGCCCAGTAAGGTGCAGCGTCATCACCTTCCCTACCACGGCCCCTTGAGCAGGTTGAGGGAGGCAAAGAAAAGGCAAGACGCCTCTTTGCCAGGTGGGCAGTGGAACCATGGAGTCATCGCCCAGCTTCCCAACTCCCCCTGCGCTGCCCCTGTCCCAGCCCTGCCCCCTGCCCATCTCACCCACCCTCTGGGATTCTAGGACATGGCTCCCCAAGATTCCCCAGCCTCTCCACCAGCTGGTCTTAATTTATGCCCCTCTACTTATAGCCTCAAGGGTCCCTGTTGCCATCCACGTGGGCAGAGATATGAAGGGGCCTTTCTGCGGGGGTCGGGGTGGGGGGGACTGGCCTCAGGGCCCTCAAGGCAGATTGATGCATCAAACTTGCCCCTGCCCTTTGCCCTGCCTCACCAGGAGGCTGTGGCAAGTTACCTGTCCAATCCTCCAGAAGGAAAGGAAGGAATCAGGCCCTGGAGCTCTGGAGACTGTAGGGGCATTTGCAGGGCACTGGCCCAGGGCAGGGAGGGGCAGCAGGGTCCCAGCTCATCCCCCTGCTCCTGCCAGCCACCCTCTTTTGGTCAGAGTACACCGAGCTGAGCCTCCAAAATCCAAACCACACAGCCTTTCCTGGATTACGCCCCCCACACGCACACACACTCTGATTGTGCCTTTGGGCAGAGGTTCTCAGCTCTTCAGACACGAAGATATACGACCCTAGGTTTTCCCCAATAGGTACAAACTGGAAGCCACCTGAATGTCCAACAAGTAGGGACAAGTTAAATAAATTATGGTCCAACAATAAAGTGGTACAAGGCCTTTGAACAGCTTTACGAAGAGGAATGACATGAGAAATGCTCGTTGCAGATTCGATGAGAAGGACGAGAAGACAGTGGGATGCGTGTGTAATCTCAACTCCGCCAAAATGTCAGCAGTGATTAGCACCAGGGGTGGGAGCACAGGTGCTTTTCATTTTCTCTTTTACACCATGTTTTTTTTATTTTCCACATTTATTTTTTACAATGAGCATGTACTACTTTTGAACCAGAAAAAAAAGTACGTGTATAGATTTCTTCTGAGCCAAATTATCTAAAATCAGTTTAAAACCTCCCCAGGCTCGAGGTGTTTCTTCTGGATTTGGAGGCTGAGCACAGCATCAAAAGCTGCCCCCCTCCCCTGACACACACAGATAGGCACGCACACACACACACAAACACACACACACATCACTTCCAGAAAGCAACCCATGTTAGGGGCTGCAGCACATGCTCACAGTCCAGCTGAGGGTCACGGTTCTCTAACAAGTCACGTTCTCCCCATAACCTGCTCGGGCCACACAGCAGTTCACTGAGCTGATCCCGGGGATCCAGCAGTGAGTCCTGGCCAGAGGGAGAGGTGGCAGGTCCCTAGGCCTGGCCTTCTCTGCACTTGACCTGGCCTGACCTTTTGACCTGTTGCTTAGGTCTGCCTCTCCCTGTTCCCTGGAGTAAGGGCCCAGTATTCAAAGCAAAGAAATTTTCTTCTCCCCCTTTGTGGCCTGGTCTCAGCTGGACTGTGTGTGCCTACTGTGCGTGTGGTACTGTGTGCCTGTGCACTTGCTGGTGAGCATGCCTCTGTGTGTGTGTGCACATGTGCACTCTGCTCCAGAGAAAAGACATGAGATGTCTGAGATTCTGAAGCTAAGATGATTGATCCAAACTGTGCAGTGGGAGGTAAAGGTCTGGGCCCCACAGAGGAGAGGGAGAGAAGGTGGATCTGTGATGCCACAGCCCCGGGCTTGATTCCTTTTGAGATGAGAACTGAGCTGGGCCCTAAGGTTTTCCACTGCTTGCTTTGGGGAAGGAGAGCACACTGCCACCTCCCAGACCAGGGACAGGAAACCATCCAGGAACCCACTGGAGTCCAACTGCACCGGAGTTCAGTCATGCTATGTAACATCAGTTTGCTTACCTAGTAAACGTATGGAAGAGATAGCAGGGGTTGATTTTTAACAGCTCAGCTCAGTATGACCCTAGGATTCTATTGGGAGAAAAATAATAATAATTTACACTTATTGAGCTTTTTGCCAAGTGCCGGGAACGGAACTGTTCTGAATGCTCATTTTGACTCTGTAATTCTAGTGGGAGAGCAACAATAGAATGGGGGCTTCCTCTTCCAGCTGTTGCAGACTAGCTTGTGTCACACCAAACCTGCTGATAATAGCTAGGAAAAGCTAGGGGGACATATGAAGGCATCGAAGAATCAGCAAGGGAGCAAGAACTTG